TTCCTTAACTCATCCTTTACTGCTGCAAATTTAGCTGATATTAAATGCCTTTAATTTGTGCTTTTTGGATTAGATCTTTAACCTACTTGGAATGGATTCTCTCTGTGCTCCTGGTTTGAAGCATTATGCCATTTTAGTGGATCATGTAAATTTCTTCTCTTCTTGTAATGATGGTAGAGCTCTGGAATCAGTTCAGTATTTTAATATTTCCACAGGAAATGTTAGCCTACCAAGTAATTAACCTTTTCTGTGTTCCCTAACTCTAAGCTTATGGCTGTCTGTATTACCTAGTCAGGCCCTGAACATTTCTGTGTTCTCTGTTAATAGGAGTTGGTTCCTTTGAATCAGAGTCAACCTTGGCACTATCAGCATTTGGGCTTGATAATGTTGGAGGGCTGTCCTGTGTGTACAGGATGTTCAGCAGCATGCCTGGCTTCTACTTACTAGAAGAACCCTCTTCTCAGTTGTGATAACCGGAAATGTCTTCATGCGATGCCATTTGTCCCCTGGGCTAGATGGGCGGGAACAAATCCACCCGTAGTTCAGAACCAGTGCTTTACTCCAACATTCCTTTTGTCCAGTGCCCATTTATTCGCACTCTGTAGCCACATGGCACCTGAGTTATTACAGGAGAGAAGGTGGTGTGTTTGGTAATCATGGGGGAAGGAAATGTTCATTGGTGTTTCCCTTCTTTGTAATGGTCACTTTAACAATTCTCACAACACATGAGAAACTCAGGACTGGAGAGTTCGACTTATTTTTCCCCCTAGCAGGACCTCAACTTTTACGTCTTATCTTATTAGCATTTTGCTTGTCTTAGGATAGTGATTATTAACCTACCTCTCTCTTACTATCAACAGAATCCCAGTTTATGGTAGATTTTGCTTTGTCTCTAAAATTTAACATTTTAAGTATACTTTAGAAAATGCATGTCATTTTTTAAGTGTTCATTCATTGTCGAGTCATGCACAGGTTTTTAAAGACTAGCAGTCATTAAATACAGAAAAACATTGTATAAAATTTGGTAATCATATATGAAAGTTAGCTGGTGTAGACACCAGTTTTGGAGGTGAGCAGAAGCAGCATGTCTGGTTACTGGATCCATTCCAAAAAAAGGGGTGGTGTAAGCACTCAAATGTGGTTCCTGTTTGGAAAGAGAAATTGTGACTTGAACAGATGCTTCTTCTGATACTTTCACCCGTGGGCTGAAGTAGACTAAGGAGGAATAAGAAATGAATTTAATTGTTGACGTATTGTCAGAATTGGTGATATGTAAGTAGAGTTGAAGGTAGTTATCTGTGACCCAGAATCTTTTGCCTGGGCTTTTCTTGGGACTAAATGGGGAAAGTGTAGAGCTAGAAAGGTTGGATTTAATCATTAACTTTAAAGATTGGGGGAAATGTCAAGCATTGATCACAAGTTGTGTCTAACTGCAGTCTGACTTAGTCACAAAGACTTTACATTGTAAGTGGTGGTAAAGGGAGAAAGCTAACAGCTAACCTGGGCTGCTTACTGTGTCTGTAAATAGTCAAGTATGAAGCAAGCTGTAGTGTAGCAGAGTTGGTGTTCTGACACAGCTAACTTGACCATATTCCTTTATCTTCACTCTAGCTTGAGTTGTTTTTTGTAAAACCATAAAATAGGTGCAATGAAAAGATTTAGGGTTTTTTTTAAAAATCACTGAACTTTAGAAATTTCACATCTATATCTCTATTCCTGCCTTTTTGTAAACCAGTGACTGCAAAGGAAGAAAACTGAAAGGAAAAACTAAACTGAAAAAAAACAAACAAAAAAAACTAAACTGAATCTTACCTTTTCTGACTTAAGATAAATTTTCACTTGACATGTGGAAAAGTCATAACTGGATTCTAGTTAATTTCCCATATTGGGCAGGTTAGAGAGGAACAGCCAACCAAATTATGATCTGCAAATTGAACAAAGGGATGGGGAGAGTACACTATTTTTCAGTAGATTTGCACTTTAAGATTATGAAATGGGTGTTGGTTGAAAATACTCCCAAAGGGCAGATAGGTAAATACCTTGCCTGCATGTGGATATTAGAGTCAGACCCATGCCTGCTCGCAGTAGTCCCACCTCTGCAGTTGTCTGTTGACATAATCAGAGTTGGGACTTCCCTATTCCCCTAGTTGGTGTCGCCTTCCACGTCCACTGCATTGGCAGTCAGCCTTGCGGGCACGTGTCAGTACAGTTCTCCTGCTCAGAAACCTTATGAGTTATCTTTCCTACGTCTAGATTTTAAAAATTTAGATGTCGGCTAAATTAAGTTGTGGCTAATGTTAGGGAGGGTAGGAAGTTATTTGCTTCTTTGGTCAGCAGGATCCCTGCCTCTGAGGTGCGATTGCCCCGAGGGATCAATCCCATCAGCAGCCTGGGGGGTTGGTAGCTGTAAGGAACATACATTTGCCAGCTACTTCTCCCAGCGTGGCAGTCATGATCACGAGCATCATTCCAGAGTCTTTGGCTTCTAGAACCAACTCCATTCTGAAGAACATTTTAACATCCATTAACATCTATTAATACTTTGGTAATTATCTTTTATATGCAGGAATTTTGTAGCATGAACTTTATGACTAAAGTTATTGTGTTAAATTATTTAGAAATGTTGAGTTTCTGAACGTTATTTTGTGAGACTTGTTTTAAAATAGTAATAAATTGTGTTATTTTATAAAAAACTAATTTGTATCTTTTTTTGTTACATAACCATTAGTTTTAGCTAATAAAGAGCACTATCTAAACTTTGAATATTCAATTCCAAAAAAATTGTCTTTGGATAACATATTCCACAACTTTGTGTGTATGTGTGTGTGTGTGTGTGTACATGTGTGAGTAAGGGAGAGACTGACTCATTTCTTTATCCCCCCCTCCTTC